CAAGGCAAAGAATACCAGAAAGATGTTTACTTGTGCTTTATTGATTATGCAAAGGCATTTGATTGTGTGGATCATGACAAATTATGGATAACATTGAAAAGAATGGGAATTCTTGAACACTTGATTTTACTCATGAGAAACCTGTACCTTGACCAGGAGGCTGTCATTTGAACGGAACAAGGGGACACTGCATGGTTTAAAATGAGGAAGGGAGTGTGTCAGGATTGTATCCTTTCCCCGTACTTAGTCAATCTATATGCTGAGCAAATAATCCGAGAAGGTAGACTATTTGAAGAAAAACGTGGCATCAGGTTGGAGGAAGAATCACTAACAACCTGAGATAGGCTGATGATACAACTTTGCTTGCTGAAAGTGAGGATAACTTGAGGCACTTAATGATGAAGATTGAGGAACACAGTGTGCAGTATTGATTACATCTACATATAAAGAAGACAAAAATCCTCACAACTGGACCAATAAGCAGCATCACGATAAATGGAGAAAAGATTGAAGTTGTCAACGAATTCACGTTGCTTGGTTCTACAATCGATGCCAACGGAAGCAGCAGTCAGGACATTAGATGACGTGTAGCACTGGGCAGGTCGACTGCGAAGGAACTCTTTCAAGTGCTGAGGAGCAAGGATGTCTCCTTGAGGACTAAGGTGCACCTGACACAAAGCCATGATATTTTCAATTGCCTCGTATGTGTGTGAGAACTGGACAGTGAATAAGGAAGACCGTAGAAGAGTTGATGCTTTTGAATTGTGGTGCTGGCAAAGAATGCTGAAAGTACCATGGACTGCCAAAAGAACCAACAGATCTGCCCTGGAGAAAGTGCAGCCGAGATGCTCTTTGGAAACAAGGATGACCAGACTTCGTCTCACCTGCTTTGGTCATGTTGTCTAAGGGGACCATTCCCTGGAGAAGGATGTCATGGTTGGTAAGGTGGAGGGTCGATGAAGGAGGGGAAGGCCTTCGACGAGATGGATTGACACGGTGGCTACAACAATGAGCTCAAGTATAGCAAGGAGCATGGAGCTGGTGCGAGATCGCGCAGTGTTTCTTTCTGCTGTGCATGGGGTCGCTGTGAGTTGGAAACAACTCGACAGCACCCAACAACAACAACAAGCATTTACTGAGGAATATTTTGCTGTGTATTTTACCTATTTTGTTTATTGTAGGTAAACCACATCCTTGCTAGAAAGCAAGCCTCCACAAGGGCAACAATTTTTTTTTTTTTTTTTGTATACTCAGTGCCTGCAGCAAAGATTGACACATAGTAGGCTGTGAATACCACCACTTATCTGTCAGTTTCTTGCACTGTGGTGACTTCATATTGCTGTGAAGCTGTAGGCTGTGCCATTGTATTTCAGATACCACCCGTGGTGGAAAGTTCCAGACGAAGACAGACTGGGAAGAATGACGGGGCAATCTACTTCTGAAAAAATTGGCCAGTGAAAACCTTATGAATAGCAGTAAAAGACTGTCTGATATATTACTGGAAAGCTTTGTGAATAACAGTGAAACATTTTCTGATACAGTGCCAGAATATGAACCCCTCAGGTTGGAAGGTGCTCAGAATTCGACTGGGGAAGAACTGCCTCCTCAAAGTAGAGTCAGCCTTCATGACGTGAAGGAAATAAAGCTTTTGGGACCTTCATTTACTAATAGGGCATAACTCAAAATGGGAAGAAACAGCTGCAAGCATTCATAAACAGAACATAGAATATACAAAGTATAAATCTAGGAATGTTGAAAGTTTGCAGAAATGAAATGGAACAGATAAAGATTGATATTCTGCGCGTTACTGAGCTGAAATGGACTGGTATTAGCCATTTTGAATCAGATAGTCATATGATCTGCTATGCCAGGAATGACAAATTGAAGAGGAATGGTGTTGCATTTATCATCAGAAAGAACATTTCAAGATCTGTCCTAAAGTACTATGCTGTCAGTGATAGGGTAAATACCCATATGTTTACAAGAAAACTAGTTAATACCACTATTACTCAAATTTACATACCAACCACTAAAGCCAAAGATGGAGAAACTAAAGATTTTTGCCAACTTCTACAGTCAGAAATTGACCAAATACGCAATCAAGATGTGTTGATTATTATTTGTGATTGGAATGGGAAACTTGGAAACAGAAGAATCATTGGTAGTTGGAAACTATGACCTTGGTAATAGAAATGACACCAGAGATTACATGATAGAATTTTGCAAGACCAATGATTTATTCATCATAAGTACGTTTTTCAACAACAAACAGTAGCTATACATGTGGACCTTACCAGATGGAATACAGAGGAATCAGATCAAATACATCTGTGGGAAAGGTGATGGAGAAGCCCAATATCATCAGTCAAAATGGCCAGGATCTGATGGTGGAACAGACCATCAATTGCTATATGCAAGTTCATGTTGCAGCTGAAGAAAATTAAAGCAAGTCCATGAGAGCGGAAATACGACCTTGATTATATCCCACCTGAATTTAGAGACCTTATAAAGAATATATTTAATAAATCACCACTGGCTGAAGACCAGATGAGTTGTGGGATGACATCAAGAACATCATACATGAGGAAAGCAAACAATTATTAAAGATAGGAAAGGAAGGGAAGACCAAAATAGATGTTCAGAAGAGATGCTGAAGCTTATTCTTGAATGCAGAGTAGCTAAAGTGAATGGAAGAAACGATGAAATAAAAGAGCTGAACAGAAGATTTCAAAGGGTAATTCAAGAAGACAAAGTATTATAATGAAATGTGCAAAGACTTGGGTTAGAAAACCAGTAGGGAAGAACACATTCAGCACTTTTCAAGCTGAAAGAGCTGAAGAAAAAAATCGAGCCTTGAGTTGCTTTACTGAAGGGTTCTCTGGGCAAAATACTGAACGATGCAGGAACATCAAAAGGTGATGGAAGGAATAGTTGGAGTCATTGTACCAAAACGAAATGGTTGATATTTAACTACTTCAGGAGGTGGCATGTGATCAAGAACCGGTGTTACTGAAGGAAGAATTCCAAGCTGCTCTGAGGGAATTGGTGAAAAACAAAGCTCCAAGAATTGACAGAAAACCCGTTGAGATGTTTGAACAAATGCTTACTCATTTATGCCAAGAAATTTGGAAGACAGCTACCTGGCCAACTGACTGGAAGAGATCCATATTTGTGCCCATTCCAAAGAAAGGTGATCCAACAGATTGTGGAAATTATTGAATATCATTAATACCACATGCAAGTAAAATTTTGCTGAAGATGATTCAAAAAACGGTTGGGGCAAGTTCTAGCAATTTAAGCTGGACTCAGAAGAGGACATGGAATGAAGGATATCATTGCTGATATCAGTTGCATCTTGGCTGAAAGCAGAGAATACCTTAAAGATGTTTACCTGTGTCTTACTGACTTTGCAGAGGTATTCACCTGTCTGGATCATAACATATTATGGATAACATTGTGAAGAATGGGATACCAAAACAATTGTGCTTATGAGCAACCTGTACATAAACCAAGAGGCAGTCATACGAGCAGAACAAGGAGATACTGCATAGTTTACATTCAGGAAGGCTATGCGTCGGGGCTGTATCCTGAGCATACTTACGCCATCTGTATGCTGAGCAAATAATCCAAGAAGTTGGACTGTATGAGGAAGAGCGTGGTGTCAGGATTGGAGGAACTGGTATATCACAACCTGTGATATGCAGATGACACCACCTTGCTTGCTGAAAGTGGAGATGACTTGAAGCACTGATGAGCATCAAAGACTACAGCTATCAGTATGGATTACACTGCAACATAAAACAGAAATTCTCACAATTGGAGCAATAAGCAACACTCCATTAAATGCAGAAAAGACTGAACTTGTCAGGGATTTTACTTGGAGCCACAATCAGCACCCGTGGAAGCAGCAGTCAAGAAAACATGTTACATTGCACTGGACAGATCTGCCGCAAATGACCTTTAAAATTTTAAGGAGTGAAGATGTCACATTGTGTCTGACCGAACGTGTTATTTTCAGTCATCTCATATGCATGGACAGTGAATAAGGAACACCAAAGAAGAGTTGATGCCTTTGGATTGTGGTGTTGGCAAAGAATACCAAAAATACTATTGACTGCCAGAAAAACAAATCTGTCCTGGAAGAGGTGCAGCCAAAATGTTCCTTGGAAGCGAGAATAGCCAAACTTTGTCTTACCCACTTTGGTCATGTTGTCAGAAGGCTCTCCTGGAGAAGGATATCAAGCTTGGTAAAATAGTGGGTCAGCAAAAAATAGAAGATCCTCCATGAGATGGATTGACAACAGTTGCTACAGGATGAGCTCATGCAAAGCGAGGACTGTCAGTGCAAAACAAGGCAGTGTTTCATTCTGTTGTACATAGGGTTGCTGTGAGTTGGAGGCAGCTCCAAGAAACAGCATAAGAGGTGCTCCAAACAACATAACAGGTAGTACCAAAACAACATAACAACAGGTGCTCAATGAGTGTTTGGTAAATGAATAGTCTCAAAAGTGGTAAAAGTCCCAGCTGATATCTCAAGTTATCGCTAATGAAATAGAGTCAGTATCTAGTTATAATATACCTTAAGTACACATTTCTGTACTATGACTATGATTATTCAATCTAAATTTTTTTAACATGCTGTTAATATCTAAGACTTATCAAACATTTTTATGATTTCAGCCAGCAGTGTCCGTTGGAAATGTTGGCCAACTTGCTATAGATCTGATTATTTCCACACTGAATATGTTTAAGGTTGGTTACTTCTATACCGATTGTCTTGTGCCGATGGTTGGAAATAATCCATATGCAACCACAGAAGAAAACTCAACAGAACTCAGTATAAATGCTGAAGGTATGTATGACTTCAGCAAGTTTTATTCTACTACAGAGTTGTTTTAAATTAGAAAGAGACATGGATGCTATTTTGAAGCACTTACTTGCAGCTTCAAGTACTTACAGCACTTACTTGTCAGCCACAGGGATCCAGGTGAGGAGAGGAAACTCAGGCACACCCAAAGCAGCAGGGCGGGAGAGTGGGAAAAAGGGGATTAAAAGGCCCAGGAATCCAAACAGAAGAGGAGTCAGCTGCAAGGACTCAGGTAAGGGTGGTGTGAGAAGTTTCCAATAGGGAGACAAACTTGTCTGTTGGTTTGTCCTACCGTGGTGACATGTTGATGTGAGTTTTGAGGCTGAGCCACTGGTGTTTCAAACCCAGTGGGATGCACATGGTGCACAGGTATCAACCCAGCTTACAGACTGAGACAGACTAGGAAGAAGGAAGAGGCTGTCCACTTCTCAAAGAACTGGCCAGGGAAAACCTTACGAAGAGCAAAGAAACACTGTTTGATACGTTACTGCGCAACTTTATGAATAGTCCCATTAGGTTAGAAGGCTCTCAGAATAAGACTGGGAAAGAGCTGAAACATCTGAGTAAACCCATTCTTAGTCCTATGGAGAAGGTAAAGCTTTTGAGACCTCCATTTGCTGATGTGGCACCACTCAAATTGAAGAGAAACAGCTGCAGACATCCATTAATCATTGGAACATGGAATGTACGAAGTATGAATCTAGGAAAATTGGAAGTCGTCAAAAATGAAATGGAACACATAAAGATTGATATCCTCGGCATCAGTGAGCTGAAATGGACTGGTTTTGGCCATTTTGAATCAGACAACCATGTGATCTACTATGCTGGGAGTGACAATTTGAAGAGGAATGGCGTGGCATTCATCATCACAAAGGATGTTTTAAGATCTGTCCTGAAGTACAGTGCTGCCAGTGATAGGATAATATCCATACGCCTACAAGGAAGAGCTGTTAATATGACTGTTATTCAAATTTGTGCCCCAAGCACCAAGCCAAAGATGAGGAAGTTGAAGAATTTTATCAACTTCTGCAGTCTGAAATTGACCGAACATGCAATCAGGATGTGTTAATTATCACTGGTGACTGGAATGCAAAAGTTGGAAACAAAGAAGGATGACCGGTAACTGGAAAATTTGGCCATGGTGAGAGAACTCGCATGGTAGAATTTTGCAAGGCCAATGAGTTGTTCATTGCAAACACCTTTTTTCAACAGCACAAGCGGCGGCTCTACACACATAGACTTCACCAGATGGAACACACACGAATCAGATTGACTGCATCTGTGGCAAGAGGCAGTGGAAAAGCTAAAAGCTCAATATCTTCAGCCAAAACCAGGCTAGGAGCTGATTGTAGAACAGACCATCAACTGCTTACGTTCAACTTGAAGTTAAAGACAATTAAAACAAGTCCAAGGGAGCCAAAATATGGTCTTGACTATATCGCTCCTGAATTTAGAGACAATCTAAAGAATAGATTTGATGCATTGAACACCAATGACCAAAAACCAGAAGAATTGTGGGAGGATATCAAGAACATTATCCATGAAGAAAGCAAGAGATCACTAAAAAGACGAGAAAAGAAGAGAGGACCAAAATGGATGACAGAAGAGACTCTGAAACTTTTTGCCCTTGAGCAGAGAGTAGCTAAAGCCAATGGAAGAAATGACAAGATAAAAAGCTGAACAGAAGATTTCAAAGAGCAACTCGAGCAGAGAAAGCCAATTACTATAATGAAATGTGCAAAGACCTGGAGTTTGAAAACTAAAAGGGAAGAACACGCTCAGCATTTCTCAAGCTGAAAGAATTGAAGAAAAAATTTAAGCCTCCAGTTGCAATGTTGAGAGATTCTATGGGCAAAATATTGAAT